AACACATAGGTTCACTGACCTCAGCGCATGCTCGTGCGGGTAACTAAACATAGATTCAAAGACCCAAGCACACTATCATGCAGATAATAAACATAGGTCCATCGACCCCAGCGCACTATCATGCAAATAATAAACACAGGTCCATCGACCCCAGCGCACTATCATGCGGATAAACAAGTGTCATAGGTTTATCGACCTCTTCGCACGCTTGTGCAGATAAACAAGTGTCATAGGTTCATTGACCTCTTCGCATGCTCGTGCGGATAAACAAATATGTGAAGTGGAGTGAAATTCATCACGGTCTCATTTGCGGTGTACTAACTGCTCGTGCGGATAAACAAATATGTGAAGTGGAGTGAAATTCATCACGGTCTCATTTGCGGTGTACTAACTCACTAACTCAAAAGTGTAATCGTAACAATATTTTATCATAATCCCCTAGAGATACTCACATAAGTATTATAACATATTTATGACTATAAATGTAACAATCAAGTGGCTCAAAATCCGTGAACACCTCTCAAAACAGAGCAAACAAACTCCAGAAAATAAGAAACTGGCCAAACTGCCCAGGAAATGATCGGCGCTACAGTTAGTAAAATGTACGTATCTTTCTCTAGGGAAACTATTTTTAGGAATAACTTCCTGTTTTAAAAACTAGATTCATACATCTTTCAATTGGAACTGTCTTGGTTCAGTTTGAAGTTTAATATCAATACCAGATTTCAGTTGAATTTGCATACACGTGCAGTGGTTTTCTGCAGGATATGTTGTTAATAAAAAGATTCCATCTTTCTCTATAAAAATTCTTTTTAAGATTGGTTTTGTTTTTTAGAAACTATATTCACATATATTTCATTTGGTGCTAGTTTGGTTAAATTTGGAGTTTATTTACTATACTCGGTTTTCATTTAATGTTCATACTCGTGCAACAGTTTCTCTACAGGACATGTCATTAGTCATTTGAGAATATCTTCCTATAGACAAACTATTTTTAAGAATAGTTTTCTGTTTTGGATATTAGATTCACATATTTTTCATTTGACACTAGGTTTGTTAAATTTGGAGTTCATTTTCTATCTCAAGTATCCATTTAAACATGCCACCTGTGCAGCAGATTTTCTGCTGTTTTGCTAATTTCATACATATGTGTTTGTATATATATATATATATATATATATATATTCTTTTTACAAATAAATGATGCTAATTTCATATATATATATATATATATATATATATATATATATATATATATTTCTTTTTAGCAATAAATGAACTCTCAAGATTTATCTAATTAGAGTTAACGACAAAATTAGTCTTTTTCTTGAATTTTACACGATTTTAACATGATTATTAAACAAAATAAATTCCAAATTTCCTAATGATCACGATCATAAATCTAATAGCAATATTAAGGAAAACAATATTTTCAGTTCTAGCATTTGATTAAAATTTATCGTCAAAATCTTATTTTGTTCAAACATGACAAATTAAACTCAAGCATGAAGAACATCATTTTTAAACTTTTTAAATCTTGAACTAATTTATAGACAAATTTATCGATGGTTTGGGTAGGAGATAATCTTGTTTAAACGCTGTGATGAAAAGCGTTTGTACGAGATCCTCTTGAACGCGCTTGCCCCTTGCTTCCTTCTTCACCAATGGCACATGAAACAATCTGTTTCTCTTCTTCAACCCTTCACAGGGACTTCTTAGGAGCTTTCAGAACTCACCATAGGATATTTGAGAGGAGGAAGAGAGGCTTGTAGGGTGTTTGGAAATTGATATAGGGTTTGGGGTGTTGAGCTTGGTCAGAGATCACTTAGAGAAGATGAGGAGTTACTGTTCGTAACTGAGAGAGCTTAGAGTTCTCAGTTTCTTTTCTTTTGATTTTTTTTAGAGCTGAAACATGAAGAGGATAAAATTCATTTTTTTATTTTTACAGTACAAATCAATCCCCTAAAATTACGCTAAAGAGAAGCTCGTCATCCCACACCGCTGCGCAATGCCGCTCACGGCTAGAAAACACGGAGTCTGTTGTCCACAAAGAATCTTCGTAGTTACTGTTTTCGTGGAAAGCTGCCTTCATCATTGATTTCATTAAACTTTAGTCGTTTACAAATGAATTCAAATAACAAAAATAAAAAAATTATAACTTTCTTGAAAATAAACACAAGATCCGTTTATCGGCTCTTGCTTGCGTGGGTTCTTCGCCCGTGCCGGGGTTTATCCGTGGATGACCGCGAATCAGATCCGGTTATAGGAAAATTCGGCAGAGCTTCGCCTTCGCCGAGGAAGTTTTTTGATTTGAAGCGCTGAGATCGACCAAGCAAAATCAGGGCTCTTCTCGAGATTTAGACTAAGCCTAATCTCAAGGAATGGACGTGCAAGGCTTCGGATCCTTCGAATGACTCCTCTTCGGTGCTGAAGTTCGCCGGGATCTCATCGACCTTTGCTAAAATTTCGTGCTCCTTCACTCTTCAATCCAGCAGCACCTCGTCCTCTTGATAAAATTCCAGCTCTGGAAAATGGAAGCCTTTGGCTCATATTTATAGGCCTCGGATGTAGTTATTTAGATGAGAACAAGTGATTTGGCTCTATCTTCAGTTAACAACAGCTTAGTCACGTTTAGGGATGATATCAAGTTAGTTAGGAACCCCTGGAATAGATAAATCCTATGAAAAACCACTTTTAAACCGTCAAAACGCGTTTCGGGTTCCAGACTACGCGACAGACAAATCTAACCCGCGCTTGCGCGGGTCAGACAGATCTGACCCGCGCTTGTGCGGGTCGGACAAATCTAACCCTTGCTTGCGCGGGTCGAAATCATCCGACCCGTGCATGCGCAGGTCGGACAGATCTGACCCGCATTTGTGCGGGTTAGTCTGTTCCGTTTTGTGCTGGCGCGGATCCGCCGACTTTTTCTTTTCCTGGTCTTGTTCTTCTCGCGTATTTGGTTGATTTGTTGACTTTGTACGCTTCGTCGCGAGACTGACCGTTGAACGCGTGTTGGTTAACGTACGCGTGTTGATCGATGCGCGCGGGCTGATTGGCGTGCGCGCGTTGACCGACGCGCATGAGCTGGTTTGACGTGCGCGTGTTTGATTGACGCGCACGAGATGATTTGATGTGCTCACGCTGACCGACGCGCACGAGATGATTTGACATGCGCGCGCAGACCGACACGCACGGGCTGGTTTGACGTGCGCGCGTTGATCGACGCGCGCGAGCTAGTTGACGTGCGCGCGTTGACCGATGCGGCTGGTTGACGTGCGCGCGTTGACCAACACGCATGAGCTGGTTTGACGTGCACGCGTTTGACCGACGCGCATGAGATGATTTGACGTGCGCGCGCTGATCGCCGCGCACGGGCTGGTTTGACGTGCGCGCGTTGACCGACGCGCACTGGTCGAATGGCGTGTGTGCGCTGACCGACGCGCGCGAGCTGAATGCCGTGAACCTTCTTGATTCGTCTACCCTTTGCTTCGAGTTTCGTGCGGGCTCTCATAGGCAATTTTAGACGCCTACAGATACCCCCTCCAAAGTGTTTCAACATCATTCTTTTATAGAGGAGTCTGAAATGCTTTGGATATGATGGACCCCTACCTTCAGTCGGTGTTAAAGGGCCTACAGATAGTTTCGATTCTTGACTTCTCCATATTTCAGCATATTCTGTATTTTGTCGAATAGCTAAAAAATTTTCCCGGTGCTGCGTTTATCGTCTGACCGTTGTTGAAGCCTTGAACCGGAATTGGTGAGTAGATTTTTGTTGATGCGTCATTGAGTTGACTTTTGGATTAATGATCTACACCGCAACGTGTTGACCGACGTTGACCTAGGGCTATGCGTTGATCCGCATTGACCTTAGGGTTTCGTGTTGATAGGTGTTGACTCTCATCGCAACGCAGTGACCGGCGTTGACCTAGGGCTACGCGTTGACCGGCGTTGACCTAGGGTTACACGTTGACCGGCGTTGACCTTAGGGTTTCGAATCGATCGACGCTGACTCTTATCGCAACGCGTTGACCGGCGTTGACTTAGGGCTACGCTTTGACCGGCGTTGACCTTAGGGTTTCGAATCGATCGGCGTTGACTCTTATCGTAACGCGTTGACCAGCGTTGACCTAGGGCTACGCGTTGACCAGCATTGACCTTAAGGTTTCGCATTAACCTGAGGAGAACCAGTTTATACTAGTATGCTCCTGGGAGTTTCGGGAATTAGTTTAGTCTCGTGTACCCGTCGGAGGTTGCCAGGTTATCCTTAAGAATTATTATACATAATATTCTCCAGGAACTTCCCGTCAAAAGTGGGAAACAGTTTAGACTCTTGGTCACCAATTGGAGTTTTCGTGGATTTCGAATATATCAAATATGAGTATAAACGCCGCGAGATTAATTGGGAATATAAAAGTGGGTACCGAACATTCCGTGGATGAGCGAAATGCCGTGAAACCACCCCAAAATTTTAAAATTAGGTCCCGAATATTCTCGATATGAGCGAAATGCTGCAAAATCACCCAAAAATTTAAAATTGGGTCCCAAATATCCTGACAATGAGTGAAATGCCGCGAAATCACCCAAAAATATGAAATTGGGTCCCGAGTAGTCTTAAAACAGGCGAAATGTCGCGACGTCGCCCAAAAATATGAAATTGGGTCCCGAATAGTCTGAAAATAAGCAAAATACCGCGAAATTATCCGGGAGATGAAATTGAACTCTGAACATTCCAAATATGAGTGAAAATGCCGCAAAATTATCCGAGAGATGAAATTGAACTCCGAAAATTTCGAAATGGGAGAAATCAGGCGAGCGTACGACGAAACGAGCGCCGAGAAGAGTCTGACCCGCGTTCACACGGGTCAGATGGATCCGACCCGCGTGATCGCGGGTCGGATTAATCCGACCCGCGAGCACACGGGTCGGTCACGAATCCGACCGGGGGAGGGGGTGAAAAGGGGTAAAAAATCCCCGATTTCTTCTTCCTTCTTCATTTTCAGCCTTCTTTCAACTTCGGTCTTCTTCTTCCTTGAGCTCTGACCCTTCAAGAGTTCTTCTTCCTCAAGTTCTAGCTCTTCAAGAATTCTTCTTCCTCAAGAATTCCAAACGAAATTAGCTTCCTCCCTTTAAATTCCCAATCTCCTCCTTCCCCTCCTCTTCTAATTCGGATTCGAGCAAACGAGGAAGATTCAAGGCTAGGATTTCGTCTTTCTTCTTACCCCTTCAAGCTTCAAGAACTTGGGTAAGTCTCCTTTCATGGCTTGTTTAATTTCAGTTTTGAACTTCTTGCCTTGAACTCATGGGTTTTGGTTTGATGGTTGAAACCCTAATTCTTGAATTTGGGGAAAATTAAAATTGATGTTGGTTGAATGTGTGGCCGAAATTTTCTTCATGGTTACATGCATAACTTGGTAATTGAAACCCTAACTTTTCGCTCTTGAGGGAAAACCGAACCTTGGATGTGGAGTTCCAATCATTCCTGCATGAGAGCATATGTAGAAGCCATAATTCCTAGGGTGACAAACTTTGTCATCAACTACAGTACCAGGTGGAACATTATCAGGTGATCCTGGTTAAAAAAACTTGGTATGGTGATTCTTTTGGGCAATCATCACCAAAAATTTAGGGCACCATTGTTCATCAAGAAATTTGCATGCCTCAATAATTTGATCCAGCTCGATGTTTAACACCTGATTGAACTGAGATTCACTCACACCATCCCTGAAAATAATAATTTGGTCAGGCTTCCTTTTTTCAGAGCTTGTGTAAAAATATATCAGAAGTTCCTGGATAATGCCATCATCATCAGAACCTGCTGGTTTAAACAAAGAATCTGTCATTTCAACCTTAGGACTTTGGGTTCTTACACAAGCTCTGTACCGAGAAATAGAAGGCCATTGACGTGAGCCTACAACCGCAGCAATTGATGGAACATCAGAATGTCCTGGTGAGCCGTGTGATACATGCATGCCTAGTATAATTGTCGGTGACTCAGAAACAAGGGGGATCTTTGTCATGCGCTCTTGTAGCAATAATGAGTTAATTCCAACTATCTTTGCATTGATCTTTAGTAGAACATTAGTAAGGTATTGGTCATTAACTCTTTGAGGTGCAATGCATTGTGTCACAATTCCAAATTCAACAAGACATTTTCGCTTCCAAGGTCCATAAACATCAGAATTTTTGCGCTCAGATAAAAGGCAGAGTAGAAATTTGGGAGCTGCCGGAAGCTTTGACTTTATCTGCTCAAACATATCTTCAACTCTTGCATATGCCTTGAATTTGTACATGTGATTGAACTCTTGTATATGATTCAAATTCGAACTTGTATATAACTGAGCTCTTGTATTATTGAATTCATATGTAACTGAACTCGTGTATGCCTTGAATCCAAACTTGTGTATGACTCAAGAACCTTATATGCCTTGAATTCGAGCTATTCTTGTATATGATTGAGCTTGTGTATGACTAAATCCAAACTCATATATAGCCGAACCCTTGTATATACCCATATAGGCATGATTTTGAGTCTCAAGTCAATATCCATGCTCTAATTTCTGATGATTCTGTGAGCTTGTGAATCCGCATGTTGACATGATCGAGGCCTTATATTTGACTCTGTGACACTTAACTTGATTTTCCCTTGGATTTTCATGCTCAATTATACACGTGAGCTATGTAGGAGGCGCTTGATTCTCTTGACTTATATATTTGATCTTCCTTTAACTTGAACCGAGAATGTCATATAGGTTTAATTAGACCCTTAACTGGAAAATTCCATTTTGTAGAATTTCAATTAAAGATTCGCAATTTTCCTTTTAGTCTTCGATTCATGTATCTTGATTCTTGATCTGACTGAGCTATTGACCTTTATTACAGATTAGCCATGTCGACGAGGAGATCGCGCCTCCCGGGGACCCGCTTAGCTACTCAATCGCCTAAGAGGGAGCGTCCATCTTTTACTGGTAAGCCCTCATAATTTCTTGTTTATGAACATAACTTCCTGCTTATGAATTCAATCTTTATTATGTCATGTTGCATATTGCATCCCCTCTCTGTCCTCCTTGGTGAGGCAGTCGGGAAGAGCTGATATCCTCCTTTGTGGGGGTGGATGCTTCTATATTACATCCCCGCTCTGTTCTCCTTGGTGAGACAGTTGGGAAGAGTTGATATCCTCCTTTGTGGGGGTCGATGACTTGGAGCGTTCACAGGTTGTGATATCCGGGAAATTGGAGCTCTCGAAACAGAAGTTAGCCAAGATCAGACAAGAGGCTGCGAAAACCTTATCCCTTACCGAGGAATCCTTCAAGGTCGAATTGCAGTGTGAGCTTGAGTGAACTTATCTAGAGGAATTGACTAAACTTGAACAGCAAATCCGTAGTCACAAACTTAATGTAGATTAATCGTAACTCTTGTACCTATATATATCTATATATATATATATATATATATATATATTGTTCATTATACTTCTCTTATTATGATGTCTTATTCTGTTTGGAATAATCAATCATAATATTTATAGGATTTTTGGTAAACCCTCAGCCTTCAACGGGTTTGATGAGCCTTTACCGACTACCGTTTGAGTCGGGCTAGCATGCAGATTGTTTTGGTCCGTTCTGCATGTAATGTTGTGCTAAGAGAATTAATTCACTTAGACTTAATGCTATGACTTTGAATACATAGACTTTACCATTTCTTACGAAAATATGGCATCCGGCAACGCGTGTTAGGCGCAGACTTAAGATTTTTGGCAAACCCCCAGCCTTCAACGGGTTTGATGTGTCTTTACCGATTACCGTTTGAATCAGGCTAGCATGTGAATTATTAAAACCCGTTTCACATGTAACGTTGTGCTAAGAGAGTTAATCCTCCTAGACTTGGTGTTATGATTTTGAATACATAGACTTCGCCATTTTTTATGGGAATATGGCACCCGGCAACGCGTGTTAGACGCTGACTCATCCCTACTTAGGATTCGGGATAAAAGTCCCCAGACTCGTATTCTGGTGTCTTTTTCACTCGGTGAAAGACTAAACCGGCAACGCGTGTTAGGCGTAGGCTTATCTCTATTTAGGAGTCGAGATAAAATTCCTCGGGCATAAAGTGCGCATATTTGAAGTTGAGAATTATGTCTTTTCTTAGGGTAAAGACAAACCCGATGTTGGAGCGGAAGAATTTTATATTCTTGGTCCCAGGTCTTGTTTAGGGTAAAGACGAACCCAAAAAATAAAAGAGGAAGAATTTTATATTCTATCTTTTAACACTGAAAGAGGAAGAATTTTATATTCTAACTCCAGTTGGAAAGGAGACTCGAGGTGGGATCTCCACCCCCAGAATCCGGAAAGATGAAACTAGGAGTGAGATTTCCACTTTGAGAATCGGAAAGATTCAAACAACCCTAACTTTTATAGGATTGGTTGCTTGATCCAAGAAAAGAGTTCCTCATTTATTGAGGGGAAATTCCGATTTTGACCCTAACTTTTATAGGTTTGGCTGAAAAGGAATTTATGGAACACTGAAACTCTCTCCAGGGCGGCTTTGGAACAGCAGCATTCTGACAACACCGTCTTAATGATTTTGGAACACGGACAATGGGAGTCCGGTCCTTGATTATTCCTTCTCTGAGACCTATTCGTACTTCGGGACCGATAGTACAACTCATCGGTCGGATGACCGGAGCAACCCATCGTGTGTTGGCATGAGTCCCTAGGTGTAATGTCCTTGTCCGACGAGTACGTTCTCTTTTGAGAATTCAACGCTTTGTTAGCGTCTTCAGGAGTCGTATGTCTGAAGCTACGTTTTCGTGAACGTAGGCTTTCAACAGGCTCCTGGACTTCGACACGTAGTCCAATGCGGTCTGTTATAGGACTTTTCCCGTTATGCGTTCTCCTCCACTGCTTAGGAGGACGATCACGACTTCCAGCCTGAAAAACTGCCCGAGATCCGTTCAACAGGCTTGAGCGCTCTCTAACTGGAGCTTTGCCTCGATCATCGTGTGACAGACCAAGACGATCTTTGATGGTTATCTTGAAATGGCATAGATCCACACTGTCGCGGATCTCCACCGGAGGTGTGGAACTTGATGGAATCGAAGAAACAAGTGCAGGAGATCTTCTGTCTTGACTCTGATGCGGGTCAGACTTGAGTGACCCACGGGTTGGAGGGTCGGATCTAAGTGACCCGCGAACTGGAGGGTCGGATCTGGGTGACCCGCAGACTGGAAGGTCGGATCTGGGTGACCCACGAATTGGCGGGTCGGATTTGAGTGACCCGCGAATTGGCGGGTGCGTTTAGGCGGGTCGGATTGGAGTGACCCGCGTTTTTCGATCTTTTTGACCGCCGTCTTAGACTTTGGCCTCCATACTTGGTGCAGTCTTTGTGGATTATTTTCCACTCCTTTCTCCAATTTCTTGGCCTCTTGCACAAGAATTCTTGCTTGTGCAAGCAATGCGCGGCGTTTCTGAATCCGCTCTTGAAGAGTCGATCGGTTCCTTTTGACGCGGACCCATTCGTTCTTCGCTGGTTTGAAGGAGGAGGGGTTGTCCACTCTCTGTTGTGGTGGTTGGCGTCTCCTGGACTTCAGATCCACTTCATAACAGATTCTATCAACTGGTTCCAAGGCTTTGGCGTCGCCTCTGACGTGCTCTCTTTGATAGAGTGGGCACATCCTCAACAGTCGACCCCTTGCTAAAGGGGTTTAGATCTGTAGTTTTAGCCTCGTCGGATGCCGGCGGGACGTTGTGAGCCACAGGTGCAGCGGTGGCGGGAAGATCTTCTTCTTGGGCTTCTGCAGCTGAAGTCCAACGGGTCTTCCTAGAGTAGGCCTTCCTGCATCTGCGAGGAGAGGCCGATCTGGAGGAGGAGGACAAGTATTCCTTGTACTTCTGCTGGTCGAACTCATATTCGACCTCCGTTTCAACCGGGATCGGGATCCGAGGTTGCGACACGTCAGCCTTCGCATAAAGGCTGTCGGCTCCCACTGTGGTCACCAGTTTGTTTTCGTGGAAAGCTGCCTTCATCATTGATTTCATTAAACTTTAGTCGTTTACAAATGAATTCAAATAACGAAAATAAAAAATTACAACTTTCTTGAAAATAAACACAAGATCCGTTTATCGGCTCTTGCTTGCGTGGGTTCTTCGCCGGTGCCGGGGTTTATCCGTGGACGACCGCGAATCAGATCCGGTTGCAGGAAAATTCGGCAGAGCTTCGCCTTCGCCGAGGAAGGTTTTTGATTTGAAGCGCTGAGATCGACTAAGCGAAATCAGGGCTCTTTTCGAGATTAAGACTAAGCCTAATCTCAAGGAACGGACGTGCAGGGCTTCGGATCCTTCGAATGACTCCTCTTCGGTGCTGAAGTTCGCCGGGATCTCGTCGACCTTTGCTGAAATTTCGCGCTCCTTCACTCTTCAATCCAGCAGCACCTCGTCCTCTTGATAAAATTCCAGCTCTCGAAAATGGAGGCCTTTGGCTCATATTTATAGGCATCGGATGCGGTTATTTGGATGAGAACAAATGATTTGGCTCTATCTTCAGTTAACAATAGCTTAGTCACGTTTGGGGATGATATCAAGTCATTTAGGAACCCCTGGAACAGGTAAATCCTGTGAAAAACCACTTTAAAACCGTCAAAATGCGTTTCGGGTTCCAGACTGCGCGGCAGACAAATCTAACCCGCGCTTGCGCGGGTCAGACAGATCCGACCCGCGCTTGCGCGGGTCGGACAGATCTGACCCGCATTTCCGCGGGTCAGTCTGTTCCGTTCTGCGTTGGCGCGGGTCTGCCGACTTTTTCTTTTCCTGATCTTGTTCTTCTCGCGTATTTGGTTGATTTGTTGACTTTGTACGCTTCATCGCGAGACTGACCGTCGAACGCGTGTTGGTTAACGTACGCGTGTTGATCGATGCGCGCGGGCTGATTGGTGTGCGTGCGTTGACCGACGCGTACGAGCTGGTTTGACGTGCGCGTGTTTGATTGACGCGCACGAGATGATTTGACGTGCGCACACTGACTGACGGGCACGAGATGATTTGACGTGCGCACGCTGACCGACGCGCACGGGCTGGTTTGACGTGCGTGCGTTGATTGACGCGCGCGAGCTAGTTGACGTGCGCGCGTTGACCGACGCGCACGAGCTGGTTTGACGTGCACGCGTTGATCGATGCGCACGAGCTGGTTTGACGTGCGCGCGTTTGACCGACGCGCGAGAGCTAGTTGACGTGCGCGCGTTGACCGACGCGCACGAACTGGTTTGACGTGCGCGCGTTGATCGACGCGCATGAGATGATTCGACGTGTGCGCGCTGACCGACGTGCACGAGATGATTTGATGTGTGCGTGTTGATCGACACGTGCGAGCTCGTTGACGTGCGCGCGTTGACCGATGCGCACGAGCTGGTTTGACATGCACGCGTTTGACCGACACGCATAAGATGATTTGACGTGCGCGCGCTGACCGACGCGCACGGGCTCGTTTGACGTGCATGCGTTGACCGACGCGCACGGGTCGAATGGCGTGTGTGCCCTGACCGACGCGCACGAGCTGAATGCCGTGAACCTTCTTGATTCGTCTACCCTTTGCTTCGAGTTTCGTGCGGGCTCTCATAGGCAATTTTAGACGCCTACAGTTACTACAGTAACTTTTCCTTTTTTTTTGAAAATTATTTCCTGTATTTCCGAAAATATCAACACGCACTGCGTGTTTTGACTGTAACTTTGTCATACGACCTCTGAATGAGGTGATTTAAGATTTGTTGGAAAGCTGTCGAAAAGACCTAAAACTTTGGTCTTTGAGTTTTCCCAAATTCTAAATGCATCAATGTTTAAAACACGTAAACTCTTAACTGGTCCTTTCACCAGATTTGCATTTGCACTTGTATATACACATATACATTGAATTGATCTCAAATCAATTCCTAGCATACTCAAAAGTCAAAATATGTTATTTATTGTCATATAATATT